CCGTCGATTCACCGCCACCACTCTCGCCCTGCGCCATTTGTCAACGTCATCGTCGTCGCGACGTCTCAACGGCGTCTCCGGCGTTTACGCAACGGTCATCGCCGGCAACAGCAGCAGCAGCCAAAACCGAACCTTCTATTTACCGGCTGCACCAGGAGGAAGCCGCTGGAATTTGAACAAAAAAGCTTTCTTCTCCTCGCTCACCGGCTCTTCTTCTTCCTCTTTGCCAACCCGTGCTGCGCATCAACAGTGTTTGATCGCACCACCACCATCGATTTTTGCCGCCGGCAAACTCGTTCTAACCTGCACTTCTACTCGCAATCAGAGTTCCGGTAGTGGCGGCCCAAAGAAGCCAAGTGACAGCAGCAGCAGCAGCAAACGAGTGCTACCCTCTCCAGCTTGCAACAAAATTGCTGAACGCAACCTGAAGGACCAGCAGCAAAAAGTGAAAATCAAAATGGCTTCATCTGCTGCCTCCAAGATTNCTCCAGCTTGCAACAAAATTGCTGAACGCAACCTGAAGGACCAGCAGCAACAGCTAGTGAAACAAAGCAAGATGGCCTCATCTTCTGCTGCCTCAAGCAAAATCCGCCAGAACTACAACGAAATCAGCGAAGCGGCGGTGAACAAGCAGATCAACCTGGAGCTGTACGCCGCCTACTTCTACCAGCAGCTGGTGAGTAAAAATTTTTGCTTCAAAAGCTTTTTATTCTAAACTATTTTTCCCTTTTCCAACAAACCACCAGGCGTTCCACTTCAACCGCGACGACGTCGCCCTGCCCGGCTTTGAGAAGTTCTTCGCCGCCGCCAGCAAAGAGGAGCGCGAGCACGCGGAGAAGCTGATGAAGTACCAGAACCTGCGCGGTGGTCGCATCGTCCTCCAGGACATTCCCAAGCCGATCAAGCAGAGCTGGTCCAGCGGCCTGGAGGCGATGGAGGCCGCTCTGGAGCTGGAGAAGACGGTCAACCAGTCGCTGCTGGACTTGCACTCCATTGCCTCGAAGCACGACGACCCGCAGTTTGCCGACTACCTCGAGACGCACTACCTGACGGAGCAGGTGGAGGCGATCAAGAAGCTCGCCGACTGTGTCACCAATCTGCGCCGCGTCGGCTCCGGCCTGGGCGAGTACCTCTTTGACAAGGAGACGCTGCTCAAGTCGTAGAGGTGGCGACAGAAGAGGTGGTCCCTGTCCTCCTGTTTGAGCATTTTCAACTCTCCTGGCAGTGCGCGCGATCATTAAAAATGCTTTAACTCCGTACCGCTTGATTGAAGTTACTTGATATTGGTCGGTGTTTTCACCTCTAAAGTTTAAAGGGCCAGCAGAAGGAGGAATTCTGGTTGAGAACAGCAGTGCAAGTTCAATTCGAAATGACGAACCACTGCCTACTAAAGATGCCGCCCAGCTCTTATGCACTTCTCTCACTGGCATTATCCTAGCAGTGTTTACTTCTGAATTAGTTGTTTTGCACTTTCAAAAGCTAGAAACTCTTGATCTCTCTTTTGTTTGCAGCAAAATCTGTCTGGCAGCATGTCGTGGCAGCAGCGGCGGCAGCAGCAGCAGCAGTAGCAGCAGCAGTTTCTCAGCCTTTGACTTACGACAAGCGCCCTCTCCACCTGTGTCAGTGTCACGTCTCAATGGTGCCGCTGTCAACTTGACCAACGTCGTCGCCGGCAGCAACAGCAGCAGCAGCCAAAACCAAACCTTCTTCTTCACAGTGTTTGATCGCACCACCACCACCATCATCGATTTTTGCTGGCAAACTCGTTCTAACCTGCACTTCTACTCGCAATCAGAGCACCGGTGGTGGCGACCCAAAGAAGCCAAGTGACAGCAGCAGCAACAAATGAGTGCTACCCCNATCATCGATTTTTGCTGGCAAACTCGTTCTAACCTGCACTTCTACTCGCAATCAGAGCACCGGTGGTGGCGACCCAAAGAAGCCAAGTGACAGCAGCAGCAACAAACGAGTGCTACCCCCTCCAGCTTGCAACAAGATTGCTGAACGCAACCTGAAGGACCAGCAGCAACAGCAAGTGAAACAAAGCAAGATGGCCAACAACGGTGAACGAAAACTCCAATATGAAAGACCAAGTATTACTGATCGCTTCAGGNAGCTTGCAACAAGATTGCTGAACGCAACCTGAAGGACCAGCAGCAACAGCTAGTGAAACAAAGCAAGATGGCCAACAACGGTGAACGAAAACTCCAATATGAAAGACCAAGTATTACTGATCGTTTCAGTGAACAGTACATCCTTATTCGCGATTCTGTTCAGGAATTGAAAAATAAGCAAGAACAAGTCCCGTTGACTCCCGCCGAAGAGGTTAAACTTCAAACCCAAGTAAACACACTGAACGAAATTATCAATGAAGCGAAACGTTACTTGGCATCTAAAACCTCAACTAAACCACAATACCGAGAAAGTGGAAAAGTGATGAAATTGGTTCTGGAGGAACTATCTCAGAAGTGCCGATGCGGAGTCATTATCCCTTCCTAAACATAATTGTTTTCCCCTCTCTCTCTCCACACTGACTCTTTTTGCTCTACAAATTACACCGTTAGAGATGTCAATTACGTAATTACATTACAAAATAAATTATATTCTGTGCAAACTCTTTACCTACCGAACTAGAACTGCTACTGCCTCGTTGCCT